GATTTCTAGATTCGGAGCAGGTATCCTCGCAGTCCCTCTGCAGCATCTCTCAGTCTTGAGCCACAACCAGCTTGCTAAGCTACCCTTATGCCCTTGGGGAGAAGAAATGTGAAAGAACCAGTCACTCAATTCAGCAGTGGAAAGAACAAATAGCAGCAGCCCACCCCATGATATTAGTTTCACAACACTTTCCAGAAAAGAAGGTAAACGGTATTAAAGTCAGTAAGAATTTTATGACCAGGAAATGTAGGAACACAATAGGGGAGATTCTGTTGTGTATGTGAAATAATAAAGATTCTTTTCACGTCGCCTCTAATGTGCTGATTGGGATGGTTTCGCCTCTGTTTCCCCAGTTCCAGCAGACATCTGATCATGCCCTCTTCTCTTGCTCCGTGGTCGATGTCTTTGCTCAGCTTAATCAGAGCTTTGAGATTATTAAGAAACTGGAATGCCCTAATCCTGAAGCGTTATCTCACTTAATGAGAAGATTCGCAAAGGTAGGTTACATGGAATGAAGCTTTCCTTTTCTGGGACAGTGGCAACCTGAGTCACGCTGTTGTTTGTAGTATTAGTCTTCTGTGACACGACTAACCAATTTAATTTGTAATTCTATACCAATAGATTCAGATATTTCCAAGTTTGTCATCTGATTTCCTGCACTTCCTCTTTCTTTGGTATGGATTTATCATCTTAAAAACCTATTTTTTATTCACATTGATGACTCAGTCATTTATAATTGAAGAGATTTCCATGGATGACGAAATTATTTCTGTTTCAAATGTGGTGCTTTCTAAGCTGAAAGTAAACCTTGGTATTTCATATCCAAATTGTCAAGTATTTTTTAGCAGGCACTGTAGTATAGTGAAACACATATTAGACTTGGAGTCATGAAAACTAAGTTCCAATTACTAACCATCCAATAATTATAATGTAAATCTAAATAGTTCAAATGATTTTTATGAAGGTAGTTTTCTTATTTGACAGATTGATTTTGATCAACCAAATTTCTCTTAAGGTCATTTCTCCTTTTTAAATCTAAGGCAGTGTGCTCTGTGCGTACTACTTTGCCAAAGCTTAGGGGAACTATATGAAATGAAAGAAGCAGTTTCTGTCCATCAAATGTATTTTTTTTAATCCCATAAAATTCTCAGGATCACATGAAATCAGCTAATGGGAAGAGGACAGAAAAAGGACACAATTTGGCTTCCAAGTATAGTGGGATCTACAGTCAATTGAGTGGAAAGAAAGCTGATAAGTGCTGAAATAGGCAGAGGCTTCATGGTGAAAGTAGGGCTCATAGAAGACCAAGAGGTGCAGTTGTAAAAGTATCCTAAGCCAGAGGAGCAGCCGAAACAAAGGGACAGGTAAAGCTGAGCACATTTCAAGTGCAGGGAAAAAGAACCCTTTCTGGGATAAACAGCAGAAAAGATTGGGAGAGTGGAGATGGGCCAGATCTTGATGAGCTCTGCTTTCCAGGTTGAGAAGTTTAGACTTAATCTTTTGGTCAATTCAGGAAACACTGAAATTTGGAGATTTTTAAGCAGAATAGTGACATGACACACATAGTAATTTAGGGGAGC